CAAACCGGAAACTATTCGACACATCAAAAAATGTTTTGGTTACGCTGTTCAGCAAAACAAAGGTAAAGCTAAGGAATTAGCAGATACTCTTCGTTCAATCCCAAATCATCTGTTCAATCGTCATGAAAAATGTGGTTCTTGATGTAAGCGTGATTCGAAACCTCAGAAAATAATACTGCAAGATACTGGATTGTATAAGGCATTAGAAATTATATTCAATAAGTATGCGAACAATGCCTCAAAATTTTCTGTTGCAGCTTCCAGCCAAGGAAATGAGAGTTTTCATAATATTGTAGCTCATAAGTCTCCAAAAAATCATTCCTATAGCTTATCTGAATCATGCAGCTACCGTGTAGCAAGCGCGGTTGCGACCAAAAACGAGGGAGATAGTCATCTGTTAACTGTTAAAGAAAAACTATCATTATCACCGGGAAAACATACAGCTGCTTTTGTTACCAAGAAAGACGAAATAAGAAAGAAAAGGGCGTTAAAAGCGAAATTGCCTGCAACAAAAAAACGAAGACTTTTATTACATACATCTACAGAAAACTCAAGAAAACAAAATGAAAGACTGGAAGGAATTCAGTATCAACCAAATTGCGGGCTTGACGTTGATTTTGAAAGACCTGATACTGCTCTGGACCCTCTATCTGTAAAAGAAAAGCTGCAAAATAATCCTATTTCAGTAGAACATTGTAATGTAGTTTACTTCGACTTAGAAACGTCTGGCTTATCAAAACACTCTGACATTTTACAAATAGCTGCAAAATGTGGAGAAAAATCTTTCGATAGTTACATAAATCCAACGCAACCTGTAACTCCTAAAGCCTTCAAAATTACAGGTTTGGAAAACATTAATGGAGATTTATTTTTGTACGGCAAACCACTTACAACTGTCCCATTAAAACAAACGCTATTTAAATTTCAACAGTTTTTGACTGAATTGAATCCATGCGTATTGGTTGCTCATAATGCAAAATTTGATGTTTTTCATTTTCTTCAAGCAATCATTACTTCATCTATGATAGAAAACTTCGACAGTATTGTGGGATTTTCGGATTCCCTAACTTTGCTTAAAAAAGCTTTCCCGATTCGAAAAGGTTTAAACATGTTTAAACTGTATAAATTAGCCGAAGATTTTCTACAAGTAAAGTCAGAAAATTTTCACGAAGCATGTTTCGATGTGCAAATACTAGAGAAACTATCATCTGGTTTTCTAGACTCAAAGAATATAATACAAAATTGCACTAGTTACTCCGATAGCGTAATAACACATATTACATTGCCATCTCTAAAACCTTTGAAAAAAGTGATACCTGATATTATTATAAAAAAAATTGCAACAGAAGGCATAAGATTCGAAAATCTTTTAAAAGTTAAGACTGATTTTGGTACAACAGGAATCTGTCAATTATTGAGCGATAGAAAGACAAATGGAAAGCCAAGAATTACGGGAGATAAAAGAGTTCTAAATAAGATTAGTCATTTTTTTTAGTCAATACTAAAATATTTAAATAGTAATTTAAAAATACATTGTTTTATTTAGATGTATATTATAAACTTTATTAAAAGTTGACTGTTATAATGATTATTCTTAATCATTTAAAATTTAAAAGATACGAGAGATCTCAATACGATTATTTATTGTTTTGTGAGTATCATTTGTATATAAATTATCAACTTTACTATTCAAAGTTGTCTGTTACTATAGCTATTGATAAACATTTAAAATTTGAAAGAAACAAGAGTTTTAAATACGAATATTTATTGCATTGTGAATATTATTTGTTTAATATATATTATCAACTTTAATATGAAAAGTTGTTTGCTTCATATGATGATTTTTTAATTGTGTGACCGTCATTTATATTGTTTTAACTTATAATATGAATTATCAATGTGAAGAAAAGATATATCAATTTGTTATATACTACAATAATATTAATTTTACTAAATAAACAACATTTGCAACATTAATCATCAGTTCCTTATTTTCCATTTTTCAAATTTTTCGCGCACTTTTCTATTTTTAAAGAGCTTGCATTGAGAGCTATATAAAGCAACGTTGCCACATGTATGACTTGCCATTTCACTAACGTTAAAATTATTATTTTTTAAACTTATATATCTCTTAAATGAAACGGTTAATATTGTTAATTCCTTTTCGTTTAAATTCTTTAAATATTTATTTATATCTTAGTTTTTCAAATAAATCTATAGAACATTTTAGAAGTTTCTGAAAGAAATGTGCCGTTTTTGTGCACTCTTTATAGGTTAACCATGTTAAAGTATCAAAATTTTAACATGTGAGGCAAAATTCCTGAAATGTCCGAACAAAAAATTAAAAGTTCTCGAATTTAATCCATACTTTTCTAAAATGTTGTTATTGTTGGTGAAAGTCTAAAAATCAATTATTATTGAATTTAATAAAATAGTTTTTGAATTACAACGTTTTTAATTTTTGACTTTTGAAAAAAAAAATTTTTTTTCAATGTACAATATTTATAAGTAGAATGCATAAAAGTTAACATATATATAATGATTTTTAAAGCTTTTTTGACGGGCTACACGCTGTTAATAAATTTTTTTTTTTTAAATAACATTTGACCTTGAAATTCAAGGTCAAAATGTTAATTTACGTTTATCTCAAAATCGGATTTTTTAAAATTATTTTTAACTATCTCAATGGAAAGCTTGACCAATTTCCTACAAAACATGTAATTTTCAGAGTGGGATCTTTTAAAGTTTTTAAAATATTAATTAATTAATTAATGTTTATAACAAATGAAATATTTTACAAACGAATAAAGTTACCGTAATTCTGAAGTTAGCAATTGAAACTTAACGTAATTCCGCATCCAACGAGCCCTGTATGAAGTATTTTGGATAAGTAGATTGTTAATAAACAATTAGTTAACATTGCAATTGTTTATTAACAATATTCTTATCCAAAATACTTCATATAGGGCTCGTTGGTTGCGGAATTACCTTAACTTTCAATTGGTAAGTTCAGCATTACCATAACTTTATTTGTTTGTGAAATATTTTATTTTTTACTAACAACAAGCATCCAAAAGCCCTATATGAAGTATTTTTATTCAATTTTAGTTAAATTACAATAAAAAATGAAATATCTTACAAACAAATAAAGTTATCGTAAATCTAAACTAACCAATTGAAAGTTAAGCTAATTCGGTAACTTTATTCGCTTGTAAAATATTTCATTTGTTATAAACATTAATTAATTAATTAATTAATATTTTAAAAACTTTAAAAGATCCCACTCTGAAAATTACATGTTTTGTAGGAAATTAGTCAAGCTTTCCATTGAGATAGTTAAAAATAATTTTAAAAAATCCGATTTGGAGATAAACGTAAATTAACATTTTGACCTTGAATTTCAAGGTCAAATGTTATTTAAAAAAAAAAATTTTATTAACAGCGTGTAGCCCGTCAAAAAAGCTTTAAAAATCATTATATATATGTTAACTTTTATGCATTCTACTTATAAATATTGTACATTGAAAAAAATTTTTTTTTTCAAAAGTCAAAAATTAAAAACGTTGTAATTCAAAAACTATTTTATTAAATTCAATAATAATTGATTTTTAGACTTTCACCAACAATAACAACATTTTAGAAAAGTATGGATTAAATTCGAGAACTTTTAATTTTTTGTTCGGACATTTCAGGAATTTTGCCTCATGTATATCTCGTTTCAGAAACGGTCAATTTTTTTAAAACTTTGAGAATATGTAGATCTCGCTATTAACTGTTAAGATTTTCAATTTCATCGAATTCTATAGAAAAGTGCTATCGCGCGTGTACCACCTTAATACGAGAATCACAATAAAACAGTTATTTCTCGATCGTTGCGATCGACGTGCATCACTAGACCAAACTATTTGTCTGAGTCAACCAAACTATTTGTTTGAGTCAACCAAAATATTTGGTTGAGTGTTTTTTGTTGGCTTAACGAAAATGTTTGGTTAGCTCAACCAAATTTTTTTGTTAGGACAACAAAAATGTTTGGTTGATCAAACCAACAGTTTTTTTTGTAAAATTAAAAATTTTATTCTACCTTATTTCTTTTATCTTTGGACAAACTTCTAATTATCATATACCTCTAATTAGACGTATGTGCTAATCGGAAGTAAACCCTTATCTTTTATATTTATTTTTATATTTATTTATTCAATTTAACGTTTAATTTATATTTATCCAATTCAAATATTTCTGGACTTCGAAAAATCTCATCTCCTCCTGGGATCGAATCTCTGTTTTTTAAATGCGAGTTGGGAGCTCTGACCACTGGACTACCCATCTTTGTTAGGACAACAAACGATCATTTGATTTTTTAGGCCAAACTATTTTGTTGTATTAACCAAATTATTTTATTGTCGTAACCAAATTTTGGTTGGAATTTAAAAATGTTCAACGAAATAATTTTGTTGGACTAATTAAATGTTTGGTTGAGATAACTCTACAACTTTGTTTCAGCCTACCAAAATTTGGTTACAAGAACTAAAATTGACTAACCAAACGATTTTGTTGTAAACACAAAATCTTTTTTTTCAGTGTATGGATACAATATTGCATCAATATTAGTGGTCAATGTTGCGAATGTTGCTTTAATATTGATTATGTCCGTCTTATGGGAATATTGCCTGAAAATATTGAGTCAACATTGCTGTGCAATATTGTTGTTCACAGCAATAATGTCTGTATGTTGACAGCAATATTCCCGCAAGCCGGTTATAATAATCAATGTTGCCATGTAATATTGTCATGTGATATTGATGCAATATTATGGCCATATGTTTTGCTATTTGGGTAGTTACATTCAATCAACTACTGTCAATAAATCGAATTTAAAGTTGCTGAATTCTTAATAATTTTATTATAATTTAAAGAATCCTTACAATGACATGCAATGGTAGTATAAAATCAATTAGAATGGCTATAATAAGTTCATCTTTTAATGTAATAAGATACAAGAAAGTACCCTAAATAGTTGGAGGGATATGTTCAAAGTATTTTGTACAGAAAAGTTAATATGAAATTCCTAGTACTTGTTTTCATTTTATTGATACAAGATGGTAAAAGTCATGATGATGAGATTGTTATCGATTTCTTTACCAACAGTCAGGTAAAAAGTGTTATTGGGTTTCGCTGTGTCAACAAAGAAGGTAAATAATTTACATTAAATAACTAGCTAAAACAAAAGCACATAATCATATCTTGCAATTTATTTAGGGGCGATTGGGGTATTGTGAAACGCGCTTTTATTTTTTACCACATGTATTAGGGTGGTCCTTATTTTCATAACTTTCGAATTTTTATCATTCCCGGCCAAAATTTTAGTCTAAATGAAAAAAAAGAGATACTTTTTTTTGATTTTAATAAACACTATCAAAATATGCGCGCTATAGCGAGCATATTTTATGAATGAAAAAGAAGAGCAGTATATTGGGATCTGTAGTACTTGTATGAAAGCGAGCTGCTGCATTCTTGTTGAGCAGCTTGATTTTATACCTGTCATAGCAATTTCTTAATTAATTAGACATTTTACCTTCTGATTAAGTATTCACTAAAAATTTAAAAGACAAAGAAACAAATGATATTGAGAAGTATTATCAAAATGTTTGAATTAATTAATCGTACAATATAATTTTTAAAAAATGCATTAAGAGCATTTGAACCGTCGTGACGTCACAAACCATGGCGCATGACACGCAAACTTCTCAGGTATGTGAAAAGCACAATTTTGAATATTTTTTAAATAAAACCTTTTGGAAAATGTTCAGAATAACATAGACTCTGTCTGTTATGTGCCGAAAATTCAAATTTTTGCGTTTAAAACGTTTTTTAAACAATTTTTAAGTTGGTTGTCACAAGTAAGAAAAAATACACGAATTGCTTATATATAGGCCATTTTTGGAAACACCAGGATAAATTAATTTTATTATAAATAATAATTAAAATTGTTTATTACTAATTAAACAATAAATTGTTGTTGTTTATTTACTTTAACCCATTAACGCCCAAAAACTGAAAATTCTTTGTACACATTCAGGTTACGTTATTTTAAATAAATCGGTCAACATTTTCTACGAGAGTTACATTTCCTATAGGTCTTGAGTGTGCTCTTTCCGATTCCGGTATCAAAAATTAATTTCGTCTAAGCCGAAATTAAATATGGCGGTTTAAATATCAAAAAACACAAAAAAAGTTTTTTTTTTATTTATTTTATTTTTTTTTTATTTAGTTAGTTTTTAGTTTTAATTTGGAATTTAATTATTTTTCTTAAATACACAATATTTTTAGTTACTGTAATGATTACAATATAATAATTGTCTAATTTTATTTAGTAGTGATTAATGTTTTTGATCGAAATTATGATGAAGGAGTTTATAATTATATTTGCCATTCGTTTTATAATTATTATTATTATTAATTTCTTTTTTTTTTTGTTTTTTTTTTATTGAAAATTCAATTGACTTAAAGTTTCCACTTGGAAACATATTTTCATTGATAACTTCTCCTTAAAGAGGTGGTGATCGGAGTACCATCTATGCCATCTATAAAACATAAAATAGTGTTATTATTTTTATTCGTAAGATGGTTTTAGTTTATTAATATATTTTTGAAACCTTTGACTCTCGCTAATTATTGAAATTGAAGTACTTTTGTCTAAAATATTCATAATGTCGTAAGGGCCGTTGTGATAAGAATAAAATTTATTTTTCTTTTATATTTTTTTTTAACGTATGGTTTTTCGACTATTTTCCCTAAGAATTTTATGTTGTAAAAAAAACATAGTTTTTTTTGAGATATTTAGCAGCAAAATTTTATATTTCTATTCATCTAGATTCGTAACTTTCTAAATTTTCTTCTGGAGGAAAAGAACTAGGGGTTCTATTTTTTATTAGTATTCGGTGTTTCTTATTTTGTTATCGCTCGGCCACTGATACTTTGAAAACTGGTAAACATCATAATTAGGTAATTGATGGTAATGATTAGCTTCGTATTGTAATGCTGCCTTAAATGCATCATCAATTTTCTTTAAATCCCGGGCCTCTATCATTCCTGAAATTGCATCCGGAAGTCCTCTTAGAAAGGCTTCTAACGCGCAATCGTTTAAGGGTTCAACCATGTTCTCTATTTTATCCGATTCATATTTTTCTTCTAAAGCAGCTCTTTCCCCTGCTAATAAAAGGGTTAACCTATCATAAAACTCGCTAACTTCTTCATTTTGACCCATACGAATAGTGGATATTTCATGCAAGTACCATGAATAAGATTTTCTAGGCGCGAATCTTTGTTTTAAATGTTTAATGAGGGAGTCAATGGTTTCAAAATTCTTTCCGTGAGTACTGTTTCGAGCAGCACCTTTTAATTTCGATAAAACTACTTTAATAAATTGTTTTTCACAATTTTTAGGAATACTAGATTCCCCATTAATTATATCCTGAATAAAATTTCTTACAGGTATATTTCCGCCATCATAAAAAGGAATATGCATAACCCCTTGTTGTAACGCGAAACATTCAGCCATTGAGGTTACCATGGCATCACTTAAAGTTCTGTTTATACTACTTTCTTCTGGATTGTTGATCATTGTATTTGTTTGTTTAATAAATTTTTTTTTTTATTTATAAATTCTTTTACTTCGTTTATTATATCAAAACTCTAATTATGTCTGTAATTTCTATTTATTTTTTTTTTTAGGTTGAAATTTTAAAAGTGTTATTTATGCAAATGTCTATATGTTGTAACAGTAGTGCCGTCTTTAAGGGAAATGTTTTCTTATTTGTCAATCCCTAAAAGCAGAATTAATTCTTTTCTTTCAAAGAATTTTATAGGTAAAGAAGAATAGATTTTGAATCTTCCTTTAATTTCGTTAAAAGATTGATTTGATTGAATTAGAGAGGTGTAACAACAAAAATATAAACTCATGTGGTGCTTGGTGTAAGAATTATTTCAAATTTTAAGCATGCAATTATCATTTAATATAAAAGTTGTCGCAGCATGAACGTTTGACTTGACCCTGCTTGTACTACTGCAAGCGAGTCGCGAATGTGTCAATGAGTAGTTATGATTAATGTTAATTAATATAGATTTTATGTTTCATTGACATTCTGTTATAATATGAATCTCTAATATATCTTTCGATGAGGGCCTTTATTTCAATTAAATATTTATCCCTGTGTTGAAATTAAAATTTTGGAAAATTGACTCGAACACTCGTTATTGATAAAATTGATAATGAATAATTTTATGAGAATATTTCTTAAGATGTATTAGTAATTTTTATAGGTGAAATATACTACAGTAAAAATAACTCTAAAATAGTTTATTTTCTTATGATTTTATAGATGAAAGAAATTTGTTTAAAAATTGAAATTTTTATAGTTGATTTTGGTAAACAATAATAATATACTTGTTGAATAAAAATTTTTAAATTTCTGTAATATGTAAGATCAATTTAGTGAACAAATATAATATATTATAAAAATAATAAAGAGAAAATTTTTACGATTAAATTTTTTTTTTTTTTGGACCTAATATATGTGTTCAATAACTTATGGTGAAAATTAAATGTAAAATAACAAAATATAAAGTATCGTTTAATTTCTTACTTTTGCGTAATATAATTTACGTGTTTCGGAACGATGTTTCTTTTGTTATCAAACAATAATTTGTATTAGTTTCGCAATTTTTGTGAAATTTATGCAACTAATAATTACCGTTTTAGGCCTAAAATTAATTTTCACCTAAAAGTTAATGAATTTTAACATTGAAATTCGCCGGATGGCGTAAAATCAATAAAAATAAAAATGTTTAGACAAGTTCGCCGTGCGGCGTAAAATGTCAAACTTGCAAAGTCAGAATTCGCCGGGCGGCGTAAAACAACCTTGCAATAAACAATTAAATTTTCAGATTATCAATTCGCTGGACGGCCTCAAAGATAATAATCTATTATTGAAAATTTCCTATCAGGCCTAAATTCAATAGTTGAAATAGTGTATGTTTCTACTTATTAATTGTATTTGTAAAATAATTAAAATTGTTATAATTTTTAAGAAATAGTTTTTCAAAATTTATTATATTTTCATGAAAGGATGTCAATAACTATTATTTTGTTTTAATTGTGTTTCTTTTAAACTTGCACCATATGATTGTATACACAATCGGAAAGAATTGGGTCTCGAAAAACTCCTAAACCGCGAGCAGAAACTGTCAATTCTAAGTGTTTAAATTTAACAACAACTGTCACAATAATCAGATAGAACTTTATTGATTAATGAAAAAACAATTATAGCATTTATTTCCTAACAATTAAAATAAACATTGAAATTATTTATTGATATTAAGGCTCCAAATTCGCCGTGCGGCGTAAGATTGAACCGTTAATATTCAAAATTCAATTATGATGAAAAACTAAAGTCTTTATTATTTTGCAAATAAATTGTTATAAATAATATCGTCTAGTTCATTAATTCGCCGAGCGGCGTAAGAAACGAATGAAAATTGAAATTCGCCGTGCGGCGTAAAATCAATTTTTTCTAGATTCTTTTTATTTTAAACAATTAAAAAAACACAATTTATTGTTAAATTTTATGGAATACTCTACTTTAATTATTAACAAAAGTAAAATCCCACCGCTGCCACCAAATCAGCTGTCACGTCCCGAGCTAAGGTAGAGTTTATTTATTATTTATAATAATAAAAGGGAGATAAGTTGATGATTAATCAGGTTGGTAAAGCCTGATATTTATTTTTAATGTAGGATCGTGTCACTTTGTCAAAACTAAGGGTTTTGTGTCAAACGATTAAAGAAAAATATTCCTTTTTATGATTTGCAATTTATTAATAACAATATATAATTACAATAGTACTTACAATTGATTCGTTGAAACTTAGTAATGTAACAAGCGGCAATCAGGATTACAAATATGTGTCTCTGGATGCGTTGTTATACAAATCATAAATTGTTACACTTACACAATTTAGATTTTATACGACAGTTAAGAATTATTTAACTCGAACAAAAGAATTATATTGTTTAAAATAAAGAGAAACTTGTTTCTCTTTTACAAAACTTTTGTAAAACTCACTAAACTCGCGGGTTTAAATAACGAAGTTTAAACAATTACAAAACTGAAGGGCCGATTCTCAGACACTG